CAGATAGTTGTGCAGGTCTGATCTGCAACTCGGAAACGTTTGGTTGAGGTTATTGCTGCCAAAGGGGGGTCAACCAGTCATTAAGCTAGCGGCTCACATACTTTTTCCTTCCTGCACTGTGAATGTTTACACGTTATGTTCAATTAAACCATGGCAACATCTAATGTTTGTGTAGTATTATTTTCAGCAAGACTGTGTTTTTCTATTGTTGTGACTTAGATGAAGTTGAGAGATTTTATGACCAATTCATGCAAAACTCCAAGTAATCCCAAGGGGTTCACATACTTTTTCCTTCCTGCACTGTGAATGTTTACACGTTATGTTCAATTAAACCATGGCAACATCTAATGTTTGTGTAGTATTATTTTCAGCAAGACTGTGTTTTTCTATTGTTGTGACTTAGATGAAGTTGAGAGATTTTATGACCAATTCATGCAAAACTCCAAGTAATCCCAAGGGGTTCACATACTTTTTCTTGCAACTGTAGACTTGAGAATTAACAAAAATACTATAGAAAAAATAAAAGCTCTGTGAGCATTTTTTCTCTCTCTTGAAGATGTTTCATTACCCAAACTAGGTAGCACTGATGATGTTACTTAGTTTGGGTAATGAAATGTCTGCAAAAAAAACAAGCAAGCTAGGAGAGCATCAAGGACCCCTCCATGTCAATGCTGAGCTATAAATATGCTTTATTAAAAATAAAATCCATGCTATATTCATAGAGGAAGATGTTAATTTATATTTATAACTGCTGTAAAAGACAATTGGAAGTTACTTTTTAATGTTTTCTTTCTTTTTTTGGCACTTTTGATTTTATCTTTCCTATCTTTCTTTTACTTTCTACTTTATTCTAAATATGACTTATTTTTAGTTTTTATCTTGTTTAAAATCTTAATAAAGTTGTATAGAAAAAGCAAGTAAAAAGGGAACTGAAGAAGATTAGATTTACCTTTTCCAGCTGTCTATGTAATTCAAATGAATGGTTTAGGAGATCCCTTTTTGTATTCACTTCTGAAAGAATCATTTCATAGTGATGTTGGAGTTCACTGCATTTGGGAAGAATAGAGTCCATGGCATAATGCTTGTTTTCTATAAACTGCTCTCCTTTGGAAATTAGTAGGCTGGCTTTTTCCAAAACTTCCTAAGGAAAACAATACAGCAGAAAATATAAGTTGTAACATTATCTCTTTATAAATATGTCCCACAGAAAAATGTGTCAAAATAAAGAAATCGTATATCTTTACTTGTGATTTTTCTTCAAAACTGGCAAGATCTTTCAGAAGGTGCTCCACATGTGAACTGCTGTTTCCCATTTCTGTGAACTGAAACAATTTCTCAGACACACTATCAAGTGCTGTTTTGACCTAAATGAAATAGAATATATAATTTTTTGTAAGTCACAACAGTGTAGCAAAGTTACAAATTGAACTTTGGATCATAAAAATCAGCTAGGGGTCACGATCATAGAAAAATATATAAGCAGTATTTTTGAGAAACATTATATTATGGTTGTTTAGTGATGCAGAATAACACTGTTGGAAAGGACTTGGAGGTCTTCTAGCTTAATCCCCTGCTCAAGCAGGAGAACCTATACCACTTCAGACCAATGGTTGTCCAATCTCTTCTTAAAAACTTCCAGTGTTGGAGCATTCACAACTTCTGGAAGCAAGTTGTTNTTGACCCTGGTCTTAATGAAGCACAGTGGTCCAAAGTCCTGTTGCTCAGTGGTCCAAAGTCCTCTTTTCTGATGAGAGCAACTTTTGCCAAAAGCACTAAAACCTGGTTCAATGACCGTGGGATTACTGTGCTTGATTGGCCTCTCCATTCTTCCTCCATATTCTGGGTCCTTGGTTTCCAAATGAGATGCATGGGCATTTTATATAAAACATAGGTCTGAAGGTCTTTAAAAAATAACCCTACATAAATATTTATTTCAAATAAAATCTTAACCACATTCAAATATTTATGGATAGGGATTTAGGATATAAAAAACCAACAAGACTGAGATTTTGTTTTGGTTTATAATGAGCAGATAAAAGATTTCCAGTAGTTTTTGGAAATTAACCAATTAGTTTGAGAAAAAATTCTCCCAGGTAATTTACCAGCAGATGATTTATTATTTCAATATCTAAGCATAATTCTAAAATTGTTGCTTTTAAATTAAATTCATACAATTTGTTTTGCCTTAACACAGAGTCCAGGTGATACACACAGACAATTCAAGTAGGTGGTAGTATAAGCCATGACTTCGTGAAAGATATAAAACAGGGATGTCAAACTCATGTTGTCATGGTGGCATCATGTGACGTATCAGGACTTTTTTCCCCCTTCACTAAGGGCAGGGGCGGGGCCAGCACATGATGCAACAGGCATGTTGGTTGCGAGTTTGACACCCCAGATATAAAAGGACAAGGACAATAATTGTACTTACTTAATTCCAGTAAATCACAATTTCCAGTTTATTCATTAGCAGTGAATAACAGAATCAGCAACCATTTTTAAATTTGAGCAATTGTCTAAATCGCATAAGGGTGCATTTCTACAGTTTGGCCACTGGGTGGACTTTGAGTCATGTGGGCTCTAACGTGGGGCGTAATGCTCAAAAGTTTTTTAAAAGCAGATGCCCAATTCTGAAATCAGAACGCATCCTTCCAAGATCTCTGTTTGCTTAGCCTCCACCCCCTCTATTCCAATCCACACAGAAAACCAACATGGATAATTTTGTTCTCCATAGCAACATAGTCACTGAGAAAATTGCCAGGCTCATATTATCAATAATAAAATGACATTGATTTCATTCAAAGTGTTTGTCAATCTCAACAATTTAAAGATGTTAATGCTACTTTTATAATGTCTTGGTAAGACCACACTTGGAATACTGCACCCAGTTTTGATCCCCATGATGTAAAAAAGATGTTGAGATTCTAGAAAGAGTGCAGAGAAGAATAATGAAGATGATCAGGGGACTGGAGGCTAAAACATATAAAGCATGGTTGCTGGAATTGGGCATGTCTAGTTTAATGAAAAGAAGGACTTGGGGTGACATGATAGCAGTGTTCTGATAGGAGTTGCCACAAAGAAGAGGGAGTCAAGCTATTCTCCAAAGCACCTGAGGGCAGAATAAGAAGCAATGGATAGAAACTAATCAAGGAGAGAAGCAACCTAGAACTAAGAAATTTCCTGACAGTTAGAACAATTAACCAGTGGAACAACTTGCCTCCAGAAGTTGTGAATTCTCCAACACTGGAAGTTTTAAAGAAGAGATTGGACAACCATTTGTTTGAAATGGTTTCCTGCCTGAGCAGGGGATTGGACTAGAAGAGGTCCCTTCCAACTCTGTTATTCTATTCTATTCTTTCTATTCTTTCTATTCTATGTTAGTCTATTCTATGTGTGGACTTCTGGGTTATGCTGACTGGAAAATTCTGGGAGTTGAAATTCACACATCTTAAAAGTTGTTGAGGCTGAGAAACATTACTGTGCTCGACTGAGAAACACAGTTTGCAATACCTGTATGAATCCTTATAGTATCACAGAATCAAGGTTGAAACTTTAGAGACCATCTATCCCAGCCCCTTGTGTAGTGCAAGATCCATTGGAGTTATCTCTGACAGATGACTATCCAGCTCTACTTGAACAGCACAGGGAGAACCCCAGCATTTCATGTGATATCCTGTTCCAGTGGTTGACAGCTTCTTTAATCAAGAACTCACTCCTGGCAGCTAGCCTCAAATGGTACATATATTTAAATATGCACACAAAACACATGATTCTTTATTCCCTGTTCAAAATACCGTGAAATTATTCTGGTCTTGTCTTCTGGGTAGCAGAGTTCAATAAGGAATCATGCATTTCATGTTTATATTAGATGTATACATGCATGCACGAATTCCAGTGGGAATCTTAACAACATGAATTATGAGGAATCTCTATTCAAGGAAGAGAAATTAAATTATAATGTGAAAACTTTAGGAAAAAAGATAAGCAGAGTCTTACGGAACGAGCTTATGCCATCACTGATTATTAGTTTTGTTGGTCAATCTATCAATATCAAAATTTCTAATACATACTTTCTTTGATAGCCTAGTTTTCATCATATGTTGGACTACAGTTTCACCATCCTTGGCCATTATGGCACACTGGAGGGTATCAGCTGGGAATATGGTGTTCTAATTGTGTTCAACAATGGGACATTTCCTTTGTTATTATTTTAACGCCCTGTTTATATTGCCAGAAAGCTTGTGTACAAATCCCAACCTGTTGTGAAAGTGATAGATTTCTTCCATATTTCCAAACAACACGTCTTTCTTATTTTGTAGCCCAGGGGAAATGAGATGTGCCATTAAGGGGTTGTCCATTTCTGCTGCATAGCCCTGTAACACAAAAGGGGAACAGATTCATTGCTTCTACTGAGTTCCCATTAAGGGTCTCCTATTTTCAACAATTGCAGCCGGCTCACTGCTGATAAACATGTAGCAATATTTCAATATTAATCTGCTCAGGGTTCTAATGCAGAGTTTACACATCTTAATAGTAATTCCATTTTATATAATAGAGCTATAATCTATGAGCATTTACTTTAGGAAAAAAGTTCACTTGAAGAAGAATTTTGTAAATAATCAAAATGTGTTTTTGAATTGTTTATTACATGCAAGTCAGAACTATTTATAGCCACATATACAGCTGCTAATTTGAATGTTTTGACTCCAGAGTTGATCACAAGGTCTGCAGGTTCTTACAGAATGACCTTTCTAGGCAATTGTTCTTTCTTCTTCCTTCCTGACCCAAGTTCCTGTTTATGACTTCTGCGCTAGGCAACAAGACTAAATCTATTATTTAGCATTTCCATAGACCAGGAAAGACGCAGAAACCTGCTCTATAAACACCCATTAAGCTAGAGAAGATTCTGCTTTTAGTTGATGTATCCAAAACAGCTGGCTTTGAAAGGGAAGTAATACAAAGTGGCTGCATTTCGTCCCGGGGAAAGTTCTCTCATGGGAGAATACATATTTAGAAAAGGAAGAGGCTGCAATGACATTCTAACTCCCTCTTCCATGTCCTTCTATTTAGGCAATTATGTTATAGTCTTTATTTCATCCACCGTTAGAAACAAGAAGAGTAAAAAAGGGGGTTGTCTTAATGTTAATGGGAACCAATAGAATATAATGTTCTTGTCCCATGATTTTCAGTTTCTATTGCCTTGAATAAAAATAAATTTACATTAAAATAGAGGGATCAGAATATATTTACAACAGACTAGAGCAGTGTTAGCGAACCTTTTAGGCACCAAACCAGTGGTGGGTTCCGGATGTCGTTGCAACCAGTACGGCGCACGCATGTGTTCTACCCTCTCCAGCGACACCTTTGTGATGCTCCAGCTGCTCGGCGGAGCATCGTGCAAGCACGGTACGTGCCGTGTGCAGAAGTGCCGAAGAGTTTAAAGACAGGTAAGGACGATGGGTGGGCCCTCTGGAGCACCATACCGGAATGGTACCCAGTGCTCCGGGCAAGTTCTGGTATGCCTGTACTGGGGCATACTACCTGCAACCCACCACTGGCCCAAATTGTGCACTCATGCATGCCCAGACTGAAAGGTGTGTGTGAACGCGGACATGCACACAGAGACCCAAAGACCAGCTGGCCAGTGGGAGGGGAGAATCCCAACACAGGCAGCACAGCAAGAGGTAAAATCCTTTTCTTCCGTGAGCTTCTGTTTCATTGTTTGCAGGGAAACAGAAGCTCACAAAAGAAACACCATGGTGATCTGACCAGGAGCAACGGTGCGTGTGTGCCAACAGAGAGGTTCTGTGTGCCACCTCTGACACGTATGCCATGGGTTCACCATAATGGGACTAGAGAGTTGTGAATCAAGTCGAAAGAAAGGAAGCTTTTCACCTTCTTGACTTGGTTCTCTTTCCTGACCAGTGATGATGGCAAAGAAAATATTGACAGAAACTGTTACTCTTTTGGTAACAAGACACCTGGCTTCTCACATTCACAGCATTCGTACGTTGCACTTAGCCATATTTCTTCAGCAAATTTTAATTAAGAAAAAAGCACATATTTAGGTGACCTGCTGTGAACTCAATGGACCAAGGATTTAAAGTCAACAATATTCACTTTAAAAGACTCCAATTTCCCAGAATGAAATCATTCTAGAAAAGGGTTGATTTTTTTAGAAGAACATTTATGTTGTGTAAAGTAACATTTTTTGTCCCACAAATATTTGACTCCATGTAGTACCTCCTGTGTAAATACTCCATATAATTTTCTACACTACAGAATTATGGAATCATTTTAAATATAACATTAGCAAGGATTTTTAAAAAATGTACCTCAAGAACACAAAGAAGTTCCTCCACATAAGCTCGTTCAGTTTCAAGAAGTTCATTCATTACATGTCTATCAACATATGGAATAAATGAATTATTAAATGGTTTCAGATTTCAAAGCCCGTAAATGTGTAGATTTTTCATCACTGAAGGTTAAGAATTGATTTTTCAACAAATACTAGCAACTGCGAAACAAACTGGATGGTATTTTTTTTAGATCTGATCATATTTTCAAATATTAAAATCAAATATTTTAAGAACATTTTACCAAAAATTGTATGCCTTAAGGCAACTAATATGGTAGAAAAGATTTTGCTGTATCCAAAAGGATGGATATAGAAATATTTCCAAAAAAAAGAGAAAGGATTACTGTATGATTTCTTCTTGATTAACACATTTGAGTTGTCCATTAATGACTTATATTACCTTTAAATGCAATTGTGACATATTCTGGAAACATTTCCTACATATATTTGCTTGGAAAAAAATATACTCACTTGCGTAACACTGCTAGATTTTCTTCATCATCTGTTACAGTAACATTTCTAGATTGCTGCATTTCATTTATCTCACTCTAATAAAAACAAGAACAGCAATTTGGCATCAAATCTTTAAAGCCAAACCTCTCCTTTCTAAAATATGTTTGCCTAGAGACGGAGAAGTTTAGTTCATATAAATGCAGCTTATATCCAAATTTTAAGTGACATGACATATATACTAGTATGTATGGCAAACTATCATTTCCCACTAAAATTAAGGATTAAGCACTTATATTACAACAAAAGTGTCCCAAGTGCATTATGCAATTAATCAAGAAGATGAGGGTATTAAACAAACTATATAATATGAACTCATATTAAGCAAAATGCATGTGAGACATAGTTATTGCTAGGTTCTTCCATGTTAAACAAATATTTATTTTTCAAATCCTGGTATAGGACGCCAGGACACAATTTGGTTGTTCCTGTTTTCCAAATCAAGGTTAACCAGCAGATCAAGGAAAAAAACTTAATACAGAGTCTTTATCTTGCAGTAAATGCCTTGCTCTACTCCTTACTGTAGCACCAACAACAGAAAAGTGGTATCTAAGCTCTGATGGTTCAGGGATCAATAGGCTGCTTCATATACTTAGGGAGAATTTAACATGCCAACTGTCTCTATTTCATTCATACACTGTTACCTTCATTTTTCTGATGTTCGCTCTCCTTATTGCATGGTTATCAGAGCTGGATGAATCTTCAGACTCTATTTGAAGGCCTGGTATGTGAAACAGAATCAACCACTGTAACTAGAGCTCATGTCAAGCTTAGCATACATGCCAGATCCATTATTTTTGTTTTCAACTAAAACCAAATAACTTGACTGATTGGTTTCTTACCTGAGTAAGGACAAGGTGATTTTAGATATCCTTCTGGTCTAGGTGCCACTGGCTGAACAGGGCGTGTCTGCTTAGCTGCCAGTTTCTTAAGGCTGACTTGCCTCTTTTGAAACATTTCTTCCATATTTTTCTGTTTCTGAAAAACCTTTTGTACATGTTCCTGTAAAAAGAGGAGGCAAAAATCTATGTGGACCATTGAATTCATAGGACATCATTTCGAAAGCTGAATTTGAAAAGGAATGCACAAAAAAATGTGCTCAACATTAATTTGATTCACTACACAGAATACTTTTGTTAGACCAAAGCTAAGCCAGTAAGTTATGTTTTTTTTAAATAGAGCAGGATTGGGATGGTCTGGAAAATTTGCAGCCATGGTGAAAACCAAATGACTGACCACTCTTTATTGTGAATATAGTGCCTCTGGAGTTTTGGTATAAGATAGCATATTTAAGAGTATCCGTAACATATATGATTCCTGAATCTCAAAAATATTATACTGCAGTAATTGGGTGCCTTTTCCTGTAAATCAATTGAGCTATGGAAATGTAGCTATGGCAAACAAACTTCCACATTATTTATTTTATTGTTAAAGACCTGTAAGTGACTTATTTAACAAAACAGTTAATTGGCTTGAAAAGTTACCCACATAGGGCATTGATGTTGTAATTTATGGAGGTTTAGGTTTAGAAAGCTGAACAGACATATTAAGTGGTTTCAACTCAAATATTTCAATTCATTATTTATATATGCTTTTGTATAAATGTGACAAGATATTGTTCTGAAATCTTGACAGTTAGATTACCATTAATTCTTCAGTGAGAATAGCTTCAAATTCTTTGGACAAGTAATTTAGTTCCCTGAGTTTATTATCACCACCCATGTCCAAAAATTGTTCAATTTCCTGCAGAGCTGCTTCTGCTCCATCCTGCGATTGGCATTTGTCTACAGGTTGAGAAGCCAGCAGATAAATTCCATCATCACACCACTTCATGCACTACAAGGAAGCCAAGAAAAACACATCGTGAAAATGCTGCATTAAACAAATGATTCATGTTATCAAAATTAACAGAATGATTTGAAGAAACCAGGATTCTTTTGATTGTACTCTAGAGGCTACTGTGTTATGAGGATGTAAGTGAGGTTGCCTGATCCAGAGACAGAACTGTAAAACTTGGAAATGATGGAAGAAATGCAATATTTTATCTCCAAAGACAGATGAAGCAAGAAAATATTCTTAAATTACAGTCTCAATCACAATCTGAGCACATACCACTGGCATTTTTAAATACTACGTTGTATCTTGTATGATGTTTGCCCTAAAAGAAACTGTTCAGAAGATGAGACAAAAAAAAAATAAGATCAAGAGTTTTCTTTCCTCACAAAAACACTCCAGAACTGTATGACTTGATCACATTCTATACAATCAAAAATACATTTTTTCTGATTTGTCACAATATAAATTGAGGCTCCATTAAGATTATACATTGAGCGCTACCTGTAGATTTAAAGCTTAATCATCAAATAAGAGAGGAAATGGAGATAAAACGCATTAACTAGGTTTAATTCTGACTGGAAACTCCTTATAGACTTTTGTGTGAAACAAAAAAAATGAACTTATGATTACAGGGTTATTGTTGTGAAGAAAAGAGGATGATGATGATATGTTGGATATGTTTGCCATTTTATTTGTAAAAATAATAAAAGTGGCATGGATGGATAAGATAGCTACAATTGCAAGAAAAAGTATGTGAACCCCTTGGGATTACGTGGAGTTTTGCATGAATTGGTCATAAAATCTTCTCTGAACTTCATCTAAGTCACTTTTATTATTTTT